GTGGCCTTCCAGCCTCCCAGAGATCAGACCTGGAAGGAAGAAGGGAAAACCATGCTTTTGTTCTCTGGGGTACAATTTAAATACCCTGTGGGAATTGTCTTGAGTATCTCTGGGTAGAGGTCATCATTTGGAGGGCTTTCTCAGAGGTGGACTCTGTACTGAGCCAACTCCCATGGGAGGGGTCTTGGGATAGAACTTTTACCCAAACAGTAAGGGGAACACTTTTCTATTGCTGGTGGGAGTGCAAACTTGTACAGCCTCTTTGGAAATCAGTATGGCAGTTTCTCAAAAAGTTTGGAATCAATCTAACTCAGGACCCAGCAATACCACCACTCTTTGGCATATACCCAAAGGATACACAATCATACCACAAGGACATTTGCTCACCTATGTTCATAACAGCATTAGTCATAATAACCATAACCTGGGAACAACCTCGATGCCTCTCAACCCAAGAATGAATAAAGAAAATGTGGTACATTTTTACAGTGGAATACTACTTTGTGGTAAAAAACACTGACATGTTGAAATTTTCAAGCAATGGATGGAATTAGAAAAAAGTATCCTGAATGAGATAACCCAGCCCCAGAAAGACAAACATGGTATTTTCATACCCATAAGTGGATATTAGACATAAAATAAAGAATAACCAGCCTATAGTCCACAATCCCAGAGAAGACAGGAAACAAGGAGAACCCTAGAGAGACATACATGGATCCCCCAGTGATGAGGAAGTAGACAAGATCTCTTTAGTCACAGCATGAGGGAAGGAGGGGAGGGTTGTAGGGGAATGGGGAGAGGAAAATGGGGGGGGGACATGAGGAATCCAGAAGATTGAGTTGGGTAAAGGACAGAGAGAGAGAGCAAGGAAAATATATCTTGAAAGAGGAAGCCATTGTGGGGTTAGTGAGAAATCAGGCACTAGAACAACTCCCAGGAAATGACAAGGATGACCCCAGCTTAGAATATAAGCAGTAGTGGAGAGGGTGCCTAAACTGCCCTTCCCCTGTAATCACATTGACATGATGACTACCTTAACTGTTATCACAGAACCTTCATCCAGTACCAAATGGAAGCAGATGTAAAGATCCACCGCTAAGCACTCTGTGGAACTCCTGGAGTCCAGTCACACAGATGAAGGAGTGATATTATGAGCAAAGGGGCCAAGACCATGATGGGGATACCCACAGAAACAACTGACTCAAGCTAGTGAGAGCTCACTGATCCCAGACTGACAGCTGGGGAACCAGCATAAGCCCGAACTAGGCCCTCTGAATGTGTTGACAGTTGTGTAGCATAGGCAGTTTGTGGGCCACTAGCAGTGGAACCAGTATTTATGCCTAGTGATTGAATTGTCTCTTTGGAGCCCATTCTCTATGGAGGGATACTTGCTCAGGCTAGATATGGGGGGAGGGCCTTGTTTCTGCCTCAAGTGATGTGACAGATTTTGTTGTCTCCAATAGCAGACCTCACAGTTTATGAGGAGTGGATAAGGGAATAGGGTGGGGAAAAGGTGGAAGGAGTGGGAGGAGGGAAGGGAGAGGGAACTGGAATAAATATGTAAAATAAGATTGTTTAAAAATCATCTCATAAAGAACATTTTCCTCAATGACTTTGAGTTCCAAAAAATGTAAGAGCTGAGTTTTAGTAATGGAAAATAGGTTTAATTTTATTTGTAACTTAAATGAAAGTCTGTTATTTGATAGCATGTTTGTAGGTGACATTTGATGTGAAGAGTGCTGATGACAGATAAGATGACAGATGCCTAGGAACACCATGATAGACTCCTGGAATCAAAGAAAGAAATGCCAGATACTGTATAGTGGTGTTTCTTTGTCAGTTACTGCTCAAAGACAGACCAACTGTTAGCCAGGAAAGAACAAATCTCCTTTCCTTTTTCTTGATCTCTGTTAGATCTCAAAGCACAAAGAGGTATGGTCAGAGAAAGTTGTGTCTGGCTTTCATAGAGGTGTATAAATTAAGACTACAGCTAAACAGAGTAGCATGGATGACATAGATGGCTGTTGTGAAAAAGACTGGGAAATTTTGTGTTATATTAAAGAAAGAATTTGTGCTGTATGTGCATAACTCCTCTTCTAATAGTTGCTTCTCCACTACGCACTGCTACTGTAATTCCAACAGAAATATCTAGGTTTATGCAACACTTATTGCTTTGTCTCCTTTTTTTCTCAGAGATTTATGGGAAATATTTTTGTGCCCTGGGGAATCAACTATTTAGGGGGCAGTGAGGGGAAGAAATAAAGACTCATTCTGTTTTCAGTATGTAACCTCATTTTTGATTGTTGACCATTTGAAGCAGTAGATATGAAAAGAATATTTACTACTGGTTGTTTTTTATGGAAATACCAGTTTCTTTTGCTTAATAATAAGTCATGCTCATGCTTACTGGGTTAAAGTAGCAATAACAAAACCTCCAATTGTTTCTGTGTGTTAGGTGTTCAAAGCAAGACACAGAGGGACTGGCTTGTCTCTTTATAAATTTAGAACCTCGCTGAAACACACAGGAAAACAAGTGATGTTACATTCATTCCTGCATAGCTCTGAATTGTTGGATGAAATAGAAGTTTACTTCTTTCCATCTTTGCATGGGCTTTATCTTGTGTGACATTGGAAGGTCAAGTCACTCATCTTTTCTTATAGTTCCTAACACATTATTCAATATAATTTTATACTTTTATCCAAATTTCCCTGCTTTTCCTATTCACTTTTCTTTTTTCTCAAGGATGCTGTATTGAAAGCCTCACAGGGATTCTCTTAGTTCCTGATAGTTTCAAGACATGCCTCATTGTGACTGTTTGGTAGAAATCGTCACCTCAGTTCCTTGACACCCCTTTATACAAAGAGTCTGGAATATTTAGTTGGGGTTAAAGACCCCAGCTTAGCTGCTGTAATGCCAATTTGCAAAGCCTTCACACAAACAAATGTAAGTTCAAGGTAAAGTCAGTACTCCTAGGCGGTCAAACAGGATATCTGTGGTCGGACACCAGGCCTAGGAGGGGAACAAACAGTTCTGGGAAAAACTACATGTACCCTAGATAGGGCCAAGTCTGCTATTATTATCAGACCTTCATGCCTCTGGGAAACTTGTCCCCTAAATGAATCCATCGACTCATTCGAACTGACCAATGAGATCCCTGTAACCATGCATTGCTTCTGTATGCCTGCTTTTGCCACCCTTTTCCTATAAAAAGACCTTCTCCCAGCCTGCAGGCGCGCAAGTTCTCTGAAAGGACTTTGCCACCCACAGGTACCTGTGCCTACCCAATAAACCTCTTGCTAATTGCAGCCAGTGGTCTCGACTGTTCCTTGGGTTAGGGGTCTCCTCCTGAGGTAAGGACCATTCTGAGGGTCTTTCAGGGGGTTTCATCCCAGCCCTCTGTCATCCATTTTTGGAATGTTGGGTAGAAAACTCCACTCCCCTGCAAGTTGCCTCAGTTCAAACTCCACGTCCAAGCCTGCCAAATGGTAATCACTCCCCAGGGAAGGTCAGGACCGAGACTCCCACAGTCTATTTAAACTGCCCCCCAGAGAATGAACACCTGGTCTTCCTATTCCCCATCTCTCCTTTTCCTTCTTCCCCTTTCCATGTTTTCCCAGGGCTTCAGGGTAGTATTGCCATCCATTAAACCTGGGCATCTTTTAATTCAGTCTGATTGAATTTATTTTCGTTGGTTTTTTGGCCAGAAAAAATGCTTAATAGTGTGTGTGTGTGTGTGTGTGTGTGTGTGCCTACGTGAACCACTTGTGTGCGCAGGTCACTGGAGGCATGGGATCCTCTGGAACTGGAGTTCTAGGCACTTGTGAGCTCTGCACTTGATGTGAGTGCAGAGAACCAAAATCAGGTTCTCTGGAAGAATATTAAGTGCTCCTAACAGCTAAGTTCTCTCTTGAGCTCTGCAGGTTTATTTTAATGAACTTACTCGTGGTTGTCAGTCTACCAAAATGGAAGTATGTTGCTTCCATGATTGAAAAAAAACGTCTGAAGGACAAAATTCCAATTCCTCACAGTATACAAAGTTTTCAGAACTCACTTTAAACTTCTACCCCAACAATCACTTGAGCTCTAGCCTGAAAGGAAATCCTAACATTCTTAGCGCTGTGGCTTCCTCCTGGGCACTCTTGGCTGTTTCAGTAGGTTGTTTTCCCTCAAGAGCATTCCTTTACATTCTTTGTCCAACTAGTGTAACAGTGCAGAATTAATTATTCAAACGACACTTATTGTATATTTTGGTTGAAGATATCTTAAAAGGACAAGACAATGTCATTGCTCTCTTCTTGTTGACATTTTAGTGGATCAGGTAGTTGCCAATAAGTCACATCGCCCTTTGTTCTGAAGGAAGGAGCAGCTGAGATGAAGTACAAATTAGGGGAGTAAGATATAGTATACTTTCAAGAATTCTGAACCTGTCTCTCTGAAAATATTACAAATGCAGGTTTGGTAGTCTTTCCTCAATTACCTGAGGGGTCAGTCTTAGCTCTGTGTCTCCTGTGTTTGCTTTGGACTTAACTGGCAAACAATGGTTTCAGAATAAAAAGCAAATCAGAATAGCATGTAAAAAAAAATCATTTGTGTCTATCGCTCACTCCTAATCTACCTTTAAGAGAAGCATTTTTCAAACGTATTTGGAAAAACAGGATACCAATGCACTTCCATTTGAGCCAGCTGTCTTTAGGATGTTAGCATTAACTTAATTTGTGGTAAATGCAATCTTTCTAACATAGGCCTCCGGTCTCATCTTGAGGATTCAGGCAGGGTGAAGGCATGGGGGACTCGCTTAATGCCAGTCCCCCAGGGAATATAGACTTTCCTCTCCCACAACCAGGTTTCTTGGTTGGCCGGCCTCACTAACACCGGCCCGCAGCAGCAGCGCCCGCAGCGCCGGGGGCACAGAAGCAGAGGCTGCCCCGCCCATTTCCGGGTGGCTGGCTCTGCGGCCGTCGCATGCGTAATGACGTTTAAGTCCCCTGCAGACCCCGGAAGTGCAACTCGAACTTGGTCGGGGCGCGGATCCCGAGAGTAAGTGTTGGCGGGCGCGAGGGAGAGCGCCCCGAGAGCTGGAAGGCCACGCCTCCTCCCGCCAACCCTCTCAGCCGTGCAGCTGGGGCCGGAGCTCAGGTAGGACGGCGCTGGCCACCTCTGCGCCCCGCCACCGCGGCGGGACCCTGGAGGGGCTGGCCTGGCCGGCTCTCGGGCGGCTCTGTCAGAGGCAGGCAGCGTCTCCTGGGCACGTCTCTGACCTGTGTGTGTCCCAGACCTGGCAGAAGGGCCGGAGGGACACGTGTGGCCTGGGGTGGCTGGCCTTGTATCTGAGCCTCTGAGGCTCTGGTGCTCACCAGAGACCTTAGATGCAGTGAGGGACTTACACTTGTCTGACTGAAGTTGCTTATAGTTGTTCGTTTTTATACGAAAAGTATTAACCGCTAAAACTTTGGCATACATTTACCGCAACGTTAAAGTGTAGTTAAGAAATGCCGTCAAAGCTTTGTGGTGTGAACGTTAGTGGGCTGTAGACATTCTTCTCAAAGTTACTTACGTTTGGAAGCAGGCATTTCTCCCACATCTTGTGCTTCTCGTTTTCCAAAGTATCCATCTTTTGGGGCAAGTAACTTGTGTCTTCGTGTGTTAGGCTGCATTTTAAAGACAAATAGCATTATTTGTTTATTGAAAGTTAGGTAGGGAAAGTTCTGTGTTCTGGACCTGCAACTGCCTTGGTTTGTGTGGTTTTAGATAGGTGTTGTGTGCTGATGCTCGTAAAGTTCATGATTTGGCCTTGCCTTAAAGCACTGTCAAAAACGTTTTGTTTTTCCTTGTTCCTTATCCTTTCTTGACAGGGACTGATGCCCTCACTCTTGCTGAAGCTGAGTCTGAGCACTCTTTAGGTGCTAAACTCGGGTTCCAGCGGCAGTCCTGGTGTGGAGCTTCCTTGTAAACTTTCCCTGGTTTTAAACTAGGAGTCTGGTCCCTTTACCAGAGAAGGTGGCTGCAATGGTGTGTCCTCTGGGACCGCAGCAGCACTTGGAAGAGGTAGAACACTATCCAGGCCAAGAGGGAAATAGGATTTAAAAGCTGTGAGTATCGAGCTTTTCATTCTTCTGACTGTGTTGACTAGTCACCTTCAGTAAGTCAGGTAATGTCCCACGTTCAGAGAAGCCAGTGGTGCATAAAGGAGAAAGTCCTGTGTGCTTCTATGCCAGTGGGTGGAGAACAATCCAGAAGCAAATGCGCGAAGAAAAGTAGTGAGGAGCATAAGGAGCAATGAAGCAAGTGGCGGGGAAAGACTGATGGGAGGGCTGGGTTTGAGAAGGCTGCCAGGCTCTTTGTAAAGGGGTAGTTGAGCAGAGGGCTGGGTTTAGGGAGGGGCTGTGGGGTATGTTTTAGGGGACTACACAGCCTCTGAGGTGGAAACACTTGTTACCACTTGGAACAGGAAAGGGGTAGGACTTACCAGTGTGCAGAGTGAATATCCAGTGATTCGTTATGTTCATGAGAGAGCCTATTTACTGACCTCCAACTGAACCTGGTGAGAGAATTTGGGTCAGTACACATTAAAGGTGTTTCCATGCTGTTTATTGAGCTCTAGCAGAATTACCAATATTAAGTCAGTAAATGTAATATGCGTTGCCTTTGCCTTTGTTTTTGGTAGATTGAGTTTGCCCAGTAGTGCCAACATCTAGTAAATACTCCTCTGTACCAATTTTACTTTTCGTTTACTTTATCACTATAGTAAGATGTACCAAACATAAAACATCATCATACTTGCAAGGATTCAGTTTGGTAGCGCAGCATATGTTCACTCTGTCGTGTAGCCGTCTCTGCCGTTTGTCTTTGGTGCTTTTCACCTTCCCTAGATGAAACTCGACCTGTTAAACGCAAACTCCTCATTACCAACTACCCTTAGCCCCTCGCTACAGTGGTTCTTCTTTCTGTGTCTGTGACTCTGACACTGTGGACACATCATATGAGTGTACTTAGACAGCATTTGTCCTTTTGACACTGGCTTAGTTAACTCAGAATAATGTCCCCAAGTTTCAACTGTGTTATTGCATAAGTCAGAATGTCTTCCTTTAAAAGCTGACTATAATAATCACTGTATACATGTGTTATTACCTTTTACCTGTGGACACTTGGGTTGCTTTTAGTTTTGGCTACTGTAAATGATGCTGCTATGTGCATAAACATTTGTCTTGCCGTCATTTCTTCAGGTTATGTTTTCATAAATGAAACAGATTGATTACATGGTGTTTTGGAATCATTTGTATCTTGAACGTTCCTATCTTAAGGTTTGGTTCTTAGAGAAGTGCTCTGGGGAAAAAGTGGGTCCTGGTTGGAGGTTTCAGCCCATTGAGAGCATAACCGTGAAGGGGACATTGCAGCCTTAGCCCCTTCCTCCTCCTTTTGCTTCTTGGCCAATAAATGAGCAGTTTGCTGTGCCGTGTGCTCCTTTCTGCTCCCACCAAATGTGCACCACTTCACAGCTACAAAAGCAACAGGGCCAACCAAAGTTGTACTGAAACCTCTGACATTGGGAACTTTTTCTCTTTTGTGTTGATTACCTTAGTATTTGTTATAGTGACACCGCTATTTGTAATTCTGTGTCTGAGGTTTTAAGGGACTGCCATACTGTTTGCCACAATGACTCCCTGATTTTTCTTTTCACCGCAATGCACAGGGCTCTACTTTCCCCACAGTGTTCGGGATATTTCTCCACACCTTGAGCAAGCCTTTTAAAACAGTAATTGATATAGTCATCACTGGATATATAGTACTATCTGTGCTTTTGATTCACAGTTCTATAATAATCGATGTTAAACATTTTCTACCATGCTTTTTGGCCACATGTCTTCTTTGGAGTTGTTGAGAATACTTTTTGCAATCCAGGCTGACTTCAAACTCGTGATTCTTCTACCACAGCCACACACATAACTGAGATTATAGGCTGGCAGGGGTGGTAACCATTCCAGCTTTTGGAGGGAAGGTGTAATACCAGGGATTGAACCAGCGCCTTATGCATGCTAGAAAAATGCTGTGGCCCTGACCTCTCTCAAGCTTGTTGATTTAAGATCTGATTTTAGTAAAACTTTTTTTTTTGATTTATTATTTTTTTAATTTATTTATTTATTAAGGATTTCTTCCTCCTCCCTGCAACCGCTTCCCATTTCCCTCCCCCTCCCCCGATCAAGTCCCCCTCCCTCATCTGCTCGAAGAGCAATCAGGGTTCCCTGACCTGTGGGAAGCCCAAGGACCACCCACCTCCATCCAGGTCTCGTAAGGTGAGCATCCAAACTGCCTAGGCTCCCCCAAAGCCAGTACGTGCAGTAGGATCAAAAACCCATTGCCATTGTTCTTGAGTTCTCAGTATTCCTCATTGTCCGCTATGTTCAGCTAGTCCGGATTTATCCCATGCTTTTTCAGACCTAGGCCAGCTGGCCTTGGTGAGTTCCCGATAGAACATCCCCATTGTCTCAGTGTGTGGGTGCACCCCTCGTGGTCCTGAGTTCCTTGCTCGTGCTCCGTCTCCTGCTGCTCCTGATTTGGACCTTGAGATTTCTGTCCGGTGCTCCCATGTGGGTCTCTGTCTCTGTCTCCTTTCATCGCCTGATGAAGGTTAATATTCATGAGGATGCCTATGTGTTTTGCTTTTGGATTCACCTTCTTATTTAGCTTCTCTAGGAACAAGAATTATAATTCCTACTTATAACCCCAGCAGCACAGACACTAAGGGCATCATTGAATAAATGGGACCTCCTGAGGCTGAGAAGCTTCTGTAAAGCAAAGGACACTGTCACTAAGACAAAAAGGCAACCCACTTACTGGGAGAAGATTTTCACCAACCCCACAACTGACAAAGGTCTGATCTCCAAAATATATAAAGAAATCAAGAAACTAGACCGTAAAAGGCTAATCAACCCAATTATAAAATGGGGCATTGAGCTGAATAGAGACTTCTCAACAGAAGAAGTTCAAATGGCCAAAAGACACTTAAGGTCATGCTCAACTTCCTTAGCGATCAGGGAAATGCAAATCAAGACAACTTTAAGATACCATCTTACACCTGTCAGAATGGCTAAAATAAAAAACACCAATGATAGCCTTTGCTGGAGAGGTTGTGGAGAAAGGGGTACACTCACCCATTGCTGGTGGGAATGCAAACTTTTACAACCACTCTGGAAAGCAGTGTTTCGGTTTCTCAGGAAATTCGGGATCAACCTACCCCTGGATTTAGTAAAACTTTTTGAGATTTAATTGTGATATTTTTAAGTACTGGACTGCTTTTAAGATGGCAAACACCATATTTTTTTTTTCTTTTTAACCCCAAAGGTCTATAATGGTAAAAACCTTCATATGACTGCAGGCTAGCTATCTACAATCATTCCATACTTCAAAATTAAACAGTGTAGTAATAAGAGCGACGGGGCTGCGTCCCCAGCACCCCAGCCGCCCGCACGGCTAGCTTTACCCGAAAGAACAACACACAAACTGTATTCATTTAAACACTGCTTGGCCCTTTAGCCCTAGCCCTTACTGGCTAATTCTGTTATCCCGATCAACTCATCTCTAATAATCTGTGAGAACCGGTCTTACCAGGAAGATTCTAGTCTAGTCCATCCTGGGTCGGAGCTTCATGGAGTGTGTCTGCCCTGGAGCGGGGCATGGCGTCTCTCTCAGGCATCTGCTCCCGAGAGGAGAGCTGTGGAGTCTGAGCTCACTTCCTCTTCCTCCCAGCGTTCTGTTCTGTTTACTCCTCCCACCTATCTTCTAACCAATAAAATGGGCCAAGGCAGTTCCTTTATTAGCCAATGACCTTCCTCCATCATTTCCCCTTTTTCTGTTTAAACAAAAAAAAAGGCTTTAACTTTAACATAGCAAAATTACATATAACAAAACAGTTGTCAAGTAAAAGTTACAATAATCTTTATCATAACTAAAGAAAACTATAACTATAACTAACTATTCTTAACTCCATCAAAGACTCCAGAAAGATACAATACTACCTAAGCAAACAAGAAAAAAGCAACTTTTAAAACTCTAGAAATGACAGAGACTTCTTTCTGCCTGGACAGTCACCCAAGGTTCCTCTGTACCGTTGGGGCATCCATCTTCAGCCTTCAGGCCCA